GATTTCATGTAGCAACAATTCAATCTGATATAAAATTCATTTATAACGAAGCAAAAAAATAATCTGGTCATTTTTACGTCATTACCTGCAAGTATATAAACAAGATACAATGTATGTTTACGTATCAGGAATTGTCATAAAACACGTTTGAACAAATTTGAAATAAACAATTTAAAATGTTGCTGGATATGTTTTGTGCAGTCATATTTTTTTTTCTCCTTTATTATGTGTTTATTGCATTATTTTCAAAGAATCTCTTTGAAAACAAAAAGCAGATTTATCAACATCGTGCGACATGATAGATCACACTGCGTTAATAAAATATTGATCTTATTAATCAATTCAGAACTCAATTTCAGACTGAAACTTCATTAAAAACAATCAGTAATTGAATGCCAAGGTATTATTTATTAGTTCTGTCTATTTAAATTCTACCATATCTAGAAACCCGAGTTGAATGATATTAAACAATCCATTTACTGTCATTTTGCTAAAATATTAAGTGGCTCTACCCGAATTATCTTCTCCCTGAAAAAAAGTCATTGCTGCTCTGACAAAATATCGTTAGGAGATAAAAGATTGGTCCGAATAGTTTTGCATTAATGGAAGATAACTTGCCAGAATTACTGAAAGAGATAACGATTCCTAGGACTTTCTGTTGTCCGTAAAACGTAAGGCGAAAAATCAGCCTTTACTTCCATTCAAACAAGCTCTTTGTGGGTAACTGGGAAGAACGTAAAACGCGTTCCCTTCACGCTATATTTACTCGCTTCACTGGATAATACAGTATTTGATATCTGAATATGATCAATTATGAGAAACTATAGACCTCCAGCATCTACAAATCCTGTTTATCAGAGGGATACCGGAATTATTTTTGACAAGGAAAAGACGGATTCTCTTATCGAGTCTGTCGTTTCCTTTGATGAAGTAGTGGAATCCGCAAGGTGCGAGAGTTCTTAGGCCTTTTTCGGTTTTGTAATCTAAATCTATTTGTTTTTCTTGTATAAAAAAACACTTGCCTTGCTTAGGATACTTTTTTTCGCTAAGAATTTATTAAAACGTACAAAGTAAACGCACATGCTTGGTCATTAATAAAAAGAGAAATAGAAGGGAAAACATTGAATAAAACAATTACATCAATTTATAATGCTATGTTGCGAATAAATTTTCAATTTACAGTCTGCTTAGATTTCAACTAATAAAGTTGTCAAAACAGTTCAAATCTAATAAATTCTATTGAGTTTAAAATGCTGTCGATCGGAATTCCGACTTTTTTGCACATGCCCTGGTGCGAAATGATTGAACTAAGCGTCATAAAGTAATGGAGGTTGCTAGGATTTTCTGAAGACCTAAAACACTTTGACATTACCATCGCATGCAAGAAGACATAAAAAAGTTATTCCAATAACATGGGCAAGAATTTAGGGCCGTTATCAATATTAACTTGCACTGCATACAGACTTTCTTAATCTTTTTCTTAATATCAAGAGATGTTGGTGTGCTGAAATCAATGTGGTATTGTGATAGTTCCGACGATAACAAATGTGGGAAAAATCCAACATTAGATCATTCATTTCCCCATTGAATAATTAAGTTCCTTCAATATTTTGATAATTTAGTTAATTGACAAAGCAGCAGGGGGCATACAAGCACTTGAGTTTGTGAAAAGAATGCATGGTCAAGTTGAATATTCGCACTGAAAGTATATCCATGCAAGTTTTGAAAAAAAAGTTTAAAAATCTGTGAAAGTAAATGTATTGTTGAATCAATATAATTATATCCTCAACTGGCTTTGCAATTACAATGCCTTGCTTAAAATATGAAGAATTTTGCAGAAAAAAATTTATAGTATTTGTGAGCAACTTGTGGCACCAGATAAATTAAAGCAGGTTAGAGGGATCTTAACGAAACATTTATATGATGCAATTCTGCATCTTCACAAAAAATTCAAAATCCGAAATAATGAGTTGCCATTGATCTAAAATATCTGTAGATATAAAGTTAAATCTATCATAATAAGTAGTATAATGTAGTACTTAGGAGCTTTTAACTGCATTTACTTTAGGATGCAAACTTAGAGTAAACGGTGAATAGCCTTACGTTTTCTTTGCGTGTAATAAAATATCATAAAGAACTATATATGGTTTCTATTATATTTTGGCCCCCGGTTTTGTTACAATTTCAACGCCAATAAACCTCAATGAAATTGATATTTTTTGAAAGATTAGAATGTATACTTTTCTTTTATGGTTAAATTGATATATTGATTTAAGTAATATGCAGAGAATTAAAGGTTTAAGGTGGCTAAGTTTACAAGAAAACGTCAAAAATGGCATTTTTAGCATCGTTATCGGCGATTTTATGTATGTGTGACGCCTTGAACAAGAAAAATATTTACACATGTAAAAGATATTTTCAAAGAAAGTCTTCATTCAAAAAATTAATCTTGTTCATAAAGGCGCACACACTAAAATTAAAAAAACGTTGAGAAAAATAGCACTTTCTGACTCGCGTGACGTCACAAGCATGTACGGAGAATGACGACGACGTTGTTGACACGTGTTGAATTTTTTTTTAATTCGAAGGTAGCACCATCTATCGATTGCTTCATGTATATTTTCCAACAAAGTTCTAGACATATCTGTTTTTGAAACATATTTGTGATTAAAGAATATATTTTATCGGGATCCACATTGATCTGTTGATGTGTGAATGTACAGGTGTGGATCACAAGGAACACGATGATCGAATTTGATCTTCCAATCGCTTGAACTTCGTCTACTGTGCATTAAATCAGTTCACAGAAGAAATATATACACAGTATACATTTTATAAAATTATTTGATCATGTTAAATTAAAAATACATTAATTCATTGTGTGTGCATATTTCCATATCTACTTTATACGTTGTCATTTCTTCCCATATCGTTCATTGTTTACCAGGTTTACAAGGCTGCAAATGTACGGCCAACAAGACGTGTAAAAAATTCAACGTTATTCTAAGAAGTTCGGGGCATTAGTAATTTCAATAGAACCAACTAAAATATTTTTTTCTATAAATAATGAGTACAAATAGACTTAAGTCTACTTCTTCATATTAAAGGTGTTTTAAGTAAGTCTTACATAAGTTTATTAGATGATTTCTTTTCTGGAAATTCTTCGACTTCACAAAGGCAACAAGTTTGGCTTCTGAATATTACATTTTTAGCTCACCTGAGCCGAAGGCTCAAGTGAGCTTTTCTGATCAAAATTTGTCCGTTGTCTGTCGTCGTCGTCGTTGTCGGCGTCGTCGTAAACTTTTCACATTTTCATCTTCTTCTCAAGAACCACTGGGCCAATTTCAACCAAACTTGCCACAAAGTATTCTTAGGTGAAGCGGATTCAAGTTTGTTCAAATGAAGGGCCAAGCCCTTTTCCAAGGGGAGATAATTATGAATTAGTGAAAAATTAATGGTATTTTTCAAAAATCTTCTTCTCAAGAACCACTGGGCCAGGAAAGATGAAACTCATGTGGAAGCATCCTCAGGTAGTGTAGATTTAAGTTTGTTCAAATCATGACCCCCGGGGGTAGGGTGGGGCCACAATGGCCAATCAAAGTTTTACATAGGATTATTTAGGTAAAACCTTTAAAAATCTTCTTCTCAAGAACCACTGGGCCAGGAAAGATGAAACTCGTGTGGAAGCATCCTCATGTAGCGTACATTCAAATTTGTTCAAAACATGACCTCTGGGGGTAGCGTGGGGCCACAATGGCCGATCAAAGTTTTACATAGGAATATATAGGAAAAATCTTTAAAAATCTTCTTCTCAAGAACCACTGGGCCAGGAAAGATGAAACTTATGTGAAATCATTATCAGAAGTGTGGATTCAAGTTTGTTCAAATCATGACCCCTGGAGTTAGGGTGGTGCCACAATGGCCAATCAAAGTTTTACATAGGAGTATTTAGGTAAAATCTTTAAAAATCTTCTTCTCAAGAACCACTGGGCCAGGAAAGATGAAACTTATGTGAAATCATCCTCAGGTAGTGTAGATTCAAGTTTGTTCAAATCATGACCCCTGGGGATGGGGGGGGGGGGCAAAATGGCTGATCAAAGTTCTACATTGGACTAGATAGGGAAATCTGTTAAAATCGTCTTCTCAAGTACTTCAAAGCCATGATGAGTGATATTATGTGGAATCATCCTCAGGTAGTGAAGATTCTAGTTTGTTCCAATCATAACCCTCAGAGATAGGGTGGGCCACAATGGGGGATCCAAGTTTTACATTAAAATATATAAAAAAAAAAATCTTTTCCAGAATAGCAAAGTCATGATTAGTAATACAAGTATTTATATGGAAGCATTTTTGGGTAGTGTAGAATTAAATTTGTTCAAATCATAACTCCCAAGGGTAGGGTGGGGCCACAATGGTGGATCAAAGTTTTACATAGAAAAATAAAAGAAAAAATCCCAAGAACAGAAAAGCTATGTTTAGTTATATTGACATTTAAGCATCCTCATGTATTGAAGATTTAAATTTATTCAAATCATGGCCCTTTGGGGAGGGAGGGAAACAATGGTGAATCAAATTTAAATTATTATGAAATTATAAATAGGAAGAAAATGTTTTATAAAAATCAGGAACAGCAAAGTCATATGCTGTATTAATATGAAGGCAATCTCAAGTGGTATTAAAATTCAAGCCCCCACCCCCTCCCTTCAGTGAACTTTTCAGTTCTGATCTGATTTGTGCTTTTTTCCTAGCCGATTTGCTCAGGTGAGCGATGTGGCCCCCTGGGCCTCTTGTTAATCAATTCCTGTAAAAGGAATTTTTGTTTAAATAATATGTTGCAGGTACAAAATATTCTTAAAAAACAAAAGGAACACATGCTGACAAATAATTTTGTCTTGCGTGATCGGTAGTAAAACTTAACATCAAAGAAATCAAAATATTGTTTATAATTTGATTATTATTTTCAAAGAATATCAAATAAATAATGATATTGTTTGTTTCAGAACCATGGAAAATTCAACTTTAGGCGCGTCTGCACCAACAATAAATGACAGCGACATTCCACAAAATTATCTCGACATTTTCAATCAGCTAGCACCCCAGATCTCAATCATAGACCGTGTCATCTCACCCATTTTCTACGTTATAGGCCTAACTGCTAATCCAATCACAACAAAAATATGGCTCAGCAGGAAGATGCGCAAGAACAATTCTTCAGCTATATATGTTGGTGTTTTATCAATCGTACATACTATTTTTCTACTTCTACACATCGTTCAGGAGTTGAATTTTGCATGGGGGATTGCATCCTACACCAGGATGTCGGTTATGTGTGAGGTATTCAATATGGCAATTTATGTACCTCAGTATTATGCACCCCTATTGGTTCTAGCTTTCACCGTGGAACGGTACATTGCTGTAAACCATCCTTTCGTGAAGGAGAGATTTTGCACCGTGAAGCGTGCAATATACGTTTCTATAGGTCTACTTATATTTTCGCTGCAAATAGCATCGCTGCAGACGTATATCTGGCAGTTTCATCCCTCCGAAAGAACATGCTACCCGTCAGAGGATGTGGAACAATTTGAAAAGATTTGGACTCTGACGACAGAACTGACGTTATTTATGTTTGTTCCCGTATGCGTTCTCGTAGTAAACATCTTAGTTATCAGAGAGATTAGAAGAATTACATATCAAAGTGCTTTACCACAACAAACAAGGGGATGTGGCGGCCAAACTTCAACAATTACTTTATTATCAGTTTCTTTTTACTTAATATGCACGCTTCTTCCGGCATCCATTGTCTTCGCACTGCAAGGGGTTATCAAACCCGGGCAAGTAACTGATATGGTCACGATGGCCGCAGATCCAATGTGGAAAAGATACCTGCGATATATGACAATAAGAAAAGTTGTAGAGGAAATCTGTATGTCCAACTATTCTTGTTACTTCTTTATTTACTATATTACTGGAGAAATATTTCGCAGAGAAGTTAGAAAACTGTGTTGTTGGAGACTTTTCAAATCGAAAAAAGACAAAAACACAGTATCCAGCAAAACAGAATACACTTTAGTGACCACTGACAATACACATATCAAACCAGAGAAGGCAAAACAAACAGCGCCAAACAATTCGGAATATACATTAGTTGCTACTGACAACACGAAAAAATATGAAAGTAGTACAGCAATATGACACTTTTCATTATAATTTCGCGTATACATTTTTTCCTTCATGGTACAGATTGCAACTTTTAAAATATCCTGCAATGCTTGAAAAGGACATTGTTATTGTATACATGTACTAAGTCAAAACAGTATTATTTTCAATGACGTGATGATGACAATAGAATATAGACGTATTTTCAGGAAAAATATGTTGCAATATTCTGGTTGTATATTATTCAAGAACTATGAAACTTGTGTGCAATATTCATTTTTTGTCAATGTTTTCTGATTCACGAAGCTCATATCATTATAATCATAAGCTTCCTCATCGTTTTTAAGCTAAACTTCAGCATAACGTAGCAACTGTCATCAGTTCATAATAAATCATTCGATTCTCAATATAGCCTTTTTATTAATTGTTTAAAGAAAAAGTAAAAGAAATCAAGAAAACAATTTTAAATTGTTAAACGTCATTTGCCATTTGCTTGTAATCAAATATTTCCTTTGTTCCTATGTATGACAGAGTAAACGTATTTTTGGGGGCGGGGTGGGGTAATAGTAAAAGTTTGAATTTACTTTAGATTCCGATATAGATACAGGTACATCAACGGGTTATGATCTACACTGCTTGGGTGTGGCCACTCAGGTAAGGAGTGCTGTGTCCTTCAGTCCAACTTCCTCATGTGGTCTCTCCTGCAAGTGGGTATGATCAACAGTGTACAATGCTGCATCAGGACAGGATGGACCAGGAGCATGGCCTCACTTTCATCCAGTACCGTTTCTTCGTCTGCATTTATTCGCAGTGTGATTGTCTCGGTGCTGGTACCAGTCTTATTAAGGTAACTGCAGGTCATCATGCTGACCATTCGTGGTGAGATCATTGAGATGACTATTAAAATTTTGTGCAACATCATTGAACACATTCGATGACCTTGCTAATGAATGGGGAAATTTAAATGGTCTATAATTATTAAAATATTTATATCCAGTCCAGAGAGAACAGTTATGATCTTCAAGAGCACAGAGGGGATTGTATCCAGTGAGCAGGTCTTTATTATAAAGCTCTTGATGAATCTCTCCCCTTCTTTCTGAGTTTAGACCTGTACAATGAATGAGCAAAACAGGGTCTCGTCACATGTAGCCAATTGTAAGGAAGTTTCTGCGTCAATTACAATAACTGCGAACGATAGTATTATTCTCCCCTCTGCCTCAATGAGTTTACAGACATATTTAGATGACTGTATATTTTTGGTAAATCTTGTGTTTTAAATTATTATTATTATCAATGGAAATATTTTAAAAATTCACGTACGAACCAAAACAGGTAATATGGATTTAACTAGTATTTATTAAATTCATACCAAAGCTTTTTATGTTCCACGAGGTCGGGACATATGTTTACAAACCCCAAAAGGTAAAAATGGTTATTTTTTAAACATTTTTAAATAAATTTTCTTATCAATCTTTTACTTTCAATTTTAAATAGTTTTTAACATACGGAAATGTGTTGGGGCCATTTATCCATTTGCGTGTACATTTGAAACTTCGGCGATGTTTCGAAGCCTGATAAAATGTTCCACCCATTTTATGAAAAAGAGTTAATTTTTTGGCGATGCAATGGTTTTGAAATTATACAACTATTACTTGTGTACTCTTCTTTACATTCAAAAAAGTTTCAATGGCCAAATTGTCATTTATACTGAATTTGATGGGGATATAATTGTTAGCTGGGAATAGATAGAGAGTGTAGTTGTTCTTTAGATTGCTTATAACTCGGTAGGTCTCTACTGTTTGCTGAGGTGAACTTTTCTTGATAATGGGTTGACTTGGAGGATATTATCAGGTGAGCCACTGCTCAGGTCTGCTAATGTACTATATGTTTTACAATCAAAATCCTGCTGCATCATTAAAATTGCGTCCACTCTCTCCCACATCCAAGAACTTTGTCTTCTTCCTATGTTATTAGACAACATTTGCATTGTTCTGAATCAGATTTACTTCTATAATCCTTTGATTTTTTTTTTCAATCGAGCTCTTTCCTTGATTCTTTGCTAGATTTTCTGCCAAGAACATCTCTTTCCCTTTCTTTCCCTGTAAAACAAAATGTTTTCAAGATGTTTCGGTGATAAAGCAGGTAAATATTCCGGGGAAGTCAAATTGTCTGGCAAGAAATGAAGAATAGTTTATATCTTTTAAATGAGGGTTTCACTTTTGGAAAACACAAGTGAACTTTCTAAAATTGGTGATTCAAATGAATCAGTTGGAAGTATATTTTTTTCGTAGATATCAAAGCATGGCGAAGTCCCTTCCTCATCATTAAGCCTATTTAGTATCGAAGCTTCACTGGACTTGGCAGTTTCCACTCCATTGCCTCTAAAGCAATTTCAGCTTTCTTTGTAATCATCAACAATTTTCTCCTCAGTTTCCTCATCTGTATTATCTTGTTTTTTACTGTAAAGATGAGGATTTTCTGCAATGATTATTCCGGTTTTGAATAAGGACAAAGCACTAGCATTTTTCCATACAAGTAATAGTGTAGATTCCAGCAGAATTAAAACTATGAATCACTTGTGAGAGGTTTATAGAACATGAGAAAAGTTTCTCTCAGCTTTTCTGCAAAATTGATGCTTTTGTATTGGAGTTACTGAAAATTCTGTTGTGTGCTTTCTTAACATCTGATGTCACTTTTTTAAGGGGCAAAATACTTCCAACATAAATAGGCTGCAATAAATGTGTAGCATATATGAATAACCAATATACCTCTGTTACTTTTTGTTAGGCATATTCAAACGAGACTGCAGACGATGAATATTAACAAAACCTTACCTTTCTCTGCCAACATTCTTGTCGAAATGAAGAAACTGTTTGAATATTGCATTATCCATGCACCCTTTCTTTGTGTAGGCTAAAGCACTACCCTCAATTAAAGTCACCAGGTAGGCCATATCCCCTTTGTTTAGGTTCAGGGTAAATAGAAATTTGGGGCTTAATGGTACCATCTGCACGGCCAAAAACATACCACTGAACCACTATTTACTGTGACCTCCTGAGAGGTGTGGCAGTTGAGATTGAGCTTCAGTCGGTGATCCGAGTCCGACAACCTTACTGGCAGTACACCCTACACTAAATCCTCTCTCAGCGTTCCATATCCTACATGGTTTGTTAAGCAGGTTTTTGGATATCAAAACATCTCGTAATCAACAATACCATATGCATTAATCAGTGTTTTGTTTTGTTACATTTGTCCTTCAAGTTTCTATAACTGTCTCTTTCATGTTTTGTTACATTTGTTCTTCAAGTTTCTATCACTGTCTCTTTCATTGCTTGTAATAATCCGAGTTTCTAGTTATAAATACTATTCAAAGCTAATTCACTCTGAATTAGCTGCTTTTATCGAAGGAAGTGCATAAATGCTTTACCTATTCCTAGTGATTATCGTTCTTGTCAAATATTTTAGTTGATTATTCCCCCTTTTAATAAAAACACCTGAGGGCGCTTTGGTTGCAACTTCCTTTTTCAATATTCCAGCATCATCTTGGGTCGGTAAAAATTTTCCAGCTTTTTATTGTGTATTATAAATTTGAAACACCCACCCACCTCACCCATTTAGAATCGATACTGCTTTTCAGGTTTTTTAATGCTTTCAGACGAAGACTTTTAGTGAATATCAAGCTCAACATGACAGGACTTACAAGATGAAATCAGGACCTTAGGGAACAGCCAAGGGGATTGAACCACAAGTATCTCTATGGACTCACAGCATTCTGGACTTTCAAGACTTTAAATGTGAAAGTGATGTGAGAAACACCCATTTATATGGAAGTGATTCATTCCAAGAGCAAGTCGTGCACAATTTCCAGGAGCCAATAACTGTCCTCTAACCACAAACATTAAACAATAATGTGGATTTATAGAATCTGGTACGGCTGTCAGTTTCTTTCCAGCTGTGATGTGCGTAAACGAGCGGCACTAAGTAACTATCCTTATATGCAGTCATGTAACTCATGAAAGTTGAAAAGTAAACTTTGGATTTAGATATACATAAATAAGTGCTTGACCTCTGCACCTCCCAGGGTCAAGGCTTTTACCACTTTCTGATATGGTGTTTGTGAACTTTGACCTTTGAACTTTGAACCTGAGTTTGAATATTTAATATGTAATATTTGCTTTGTTGTGTTGCCAGAGACACCAATAGCTTTTCATAATTTGTGTCTCTGGATAAACAGCCGTGCCCAATTATCGCCACAATAAAATTTATTAAATACATACTTGATGTTTTTATATGCACTTATCTGAGATAAATATAGCTAGTTAGTTATGAACTGGTCTACCAGTTCTGAATTGTGTTCTCAAATTTTCCCTTCTTTCAAATGTTTCCTTCAAAATCTAATTCTTCAAAAGGTTTTAAACCCAAGCCTCTTTTAGACATCTCTGACAACCACTTTGTTAAATAAATGCTATTCCTTTTTCCATTGAAAATGAAGTGGAAGGACAGTTTTTAGCATCATTGTCTACCTCACCAGAAAGTCGCCTATGTAGATATCCATAACTTCTATTTATTCCATGCACTTCTTACAGATACATGTACCTTGCTGGTTTTGATATAATACAATGCCCGCCTCACACGGTTACTCTTTGTGGGAGAAACTGCAGAGTAGCTCTTATGTTTCTTCAGAAAACACACTTTGTCTTTCACCATAGGACTCTTCTTTTTTTCAAACGTTCTTTCTTCCTTGGGTCCCAAGTTTTTTTCCGACCTTTCAATCTATGTAGGAAAATTTTAACAGTTACAGCTAAGTTTCGAGCTTTCAAATTAAATTTGGCAGTAAAATTTATACCGAAGTACAAGCTTTGAACACCAGAACATGTTTAATTCATAAGGCTATTGAATTATAAGACAGTGATATAGCTAAGCTTGTGAGGACCTTAGAAAACATAGATTATACCTAGGATTTTAGAGGGGTTTTTTTTCTTTAATTTTGCAATAGTACAGAAACAGAGTCTATATAATTATCACTTCATTAAACGTACGAATGTGTTTGAATGGAATGGATAACAAAAGAAACTAAATATTTTGAAAATTTTATTTTGATACATTTTATCACCTTTTGAAAGTGGTCATACCAAATTTATAATACAGTTAACACGATAAAACGGCGTTTGACAAAATCATAAGCTTCAACGCGTTTGTTTATACTTTTGTCTGTAATCTCTGTTCTAATTGAACTTCCAAAGAATAAATTCGTACTTTTAATAATTTACAGATAAAAGCATTCTCTGAGTTTACAAGGTTTATTACAATTTGACGTAATACTCTAGCAACATATAGGTCATGATATAATACTCAAGATTTTAGAAAATGATAACTTTATTTAGCATTTGTCCCAATGATTTCCGAG